TGGTTGGGATTGTTTACTCATCCAATAATCTGATATGTTTTCAGAACAAAGCTTCTTGGATAGCTGTCTCTCAGGCAATTCTATAATACATTGCATAATTCAAACAATATAAATGTATGCAAAATGCTTCAAGTTTGATTTTTGGAAGATAAATTGAATGCAGGTGTTCATTGTTTACCTAATTGTAAGATAGCCTATTTTGTTTCTACTTGAAACATTCTGAGTATAGATATACACTGCGGAGTGAACGGAGTGAAAAACTTGTGCATGCATGCCTTTGATTTAGGTTTACTCTAATGTATGTATTGTTCTTTGTTGGGCAAACTTCCCAGGCTGGCTTGCAGAAGTAATATTGTGAATGATGTTAAGGCTGGAAGGATATGCAATTAGATTATTTGCAGCCATGGACCATTACATGATTACCATAAAACAATTGTTCCGATGTTTTTCTCTTATTAAACCTCTGAAAGTTGTAGAATCCATTCCCAGAAAAATAACCACATTATGCACAAAATAGTTTTAAAGATTTCTCATCCCCTTTGAATTCTATTCATTTACTTCATGTTAGCAACTCTGCCATATCTTATACACTTAAATTGAAACCACTTTTATGGAAGATAATTTGGAATATTTATCCAATTAAAATACACATACTGTTGGGTAATGATAACAGACTGAACATTTAGATAATTTTACTCAAACCTTATTAAAACTACTAGAAAGGAATAAAAAATAAGACAAACCCACAAGAACAAAGGAAACAGGACAGCTGACATTTGCAAAAATAAGCAGGCAAACAAACACAACTAGGAAGCTGAGCATCAGATGAATAACTAGTAACTCACTTAGCTGACCTGAGAAGGCTGAATTCAACATCAGAAGTGGGGAAAGTTAAGATGAAAATTTCCTATACTGTTAAGTCTGAAGGTATTCAGGTCCTGGTAGTATGAGGTAACTGAAATGTGAGTGAAGGGAGTGGGAAATAGAGAGGACTAGTTGAAAGCTGTTTAAATAGCAGCCATGTATCTAAATTGCCTTCCTTCGCCTATGATCATGGGCCTCCCCAACCCTAAGCATGTAGATGAGGAGGAAGCACTGCCTATGACCAGGGAAAACATCAGAAGCCTGAGTAGCTTGCTAAAAACCAGCAATTAACAGGTCTCCTATATACTGTTGGAGTCTTGGTGCGGCACTGTGGGTTAATGCGCTGGACTGCATAGTTGGTTTGACCCAAAAGGTTGGCAGTTCAAGCTCACCAGCCACTCCTCAGAAATCCTAAGCAGGGATGCTATAGGTCAGAACTGACTCGACGACACTTAACAACAACAACATATACTGTTGCTGGTAGGAAGAAGAAGCTGTGTGAGGGCTCTTTTCCCACTCAACAACCAGAAAACTGGTGGTTTGCCTTTCCCTTCTGGTTAGAAGAATTTTGTCTGGGGGATCTGCCCATTCTAAGAAGAAAGATGAAAAATACCAGCCCTAGAGGTATCCCAGGAAATACCTCAATCCAATCACCCTAGAGTGAATCTTACAGTTGCAAAACTTCTTCAACAGAAAAACCAAGAGACAACATGTTATTCAGAGATACGGCATAATAGAGAAAATGATTGATCCTGATTCTTCAGTCCTCTAAAGAAGTTTTACAATTCCACATCCTTACCATAGCCTCTGTTTCCTGACTCTGGGTTTGGCCCCCTGACTTGCTTTGCACAGTGGGATTTTGTCCATGAGCTATAGACAGAGGCTTTAAATATGCTTATCCTATTGGGATGGCCACCTTATGCTTCTCCTATGGCCATAGGAAATTGTGCTGTGGTCAGTTGCTGCCATATTGTCTGGACTACCGAATGTGGCACAGAACGTGCCACAGTCAATCCACAAATTTACAGCTTGATGGAGAGTTATCTCAGCCATCCTGCAGCTGTGTGAGCAAGAAGGAACCATTTATTTTACACGCTGCTGGTATTTTGCTCTTATTTGTTACTTAGCAAATTGACTGATAAGCATGGAGATAAATACTTGAAGAGTCAGTTAAAACTGGTAAAAAAAAAAAAAGGATTGCCTATGAATAAGATAAAGTAGGATAAAAGGTTGGAAGGGAATTGTTTTTCTTTAAAAAGCCTTATAATATTTGATTCTTTAAGCCATGTGCATGTATAACTGGTAAAAATGTGGACAAAAAAATGAAGATAATACAATTATATGATTGATTTATGGTTGAGGTTTGTAAAGGGTATTTTGACAATGGGGCTAGGTATACAGTTGTGAATAATAAAATCCTTCCTCCCTCTCAATCGTAGTCTTCTGACTGATTAGGGCAGTTTAAGAAAATGGAGGTTTTTTAATCAAGAGAAAATATAGGTTTCACAGAATTGAAAATCTCAGTAAGATCAAAGGGCAAGTATAATGTGAGGTGGGAGATTGAGAAATGATGGATTAAGGATCAGGTCAGACACTGAGTTATTAAACATTTTATAGAAGCCACAGATAGAAGTAAAATCAGTTTCTGGGTTTGACTGTGGCAATTAGTTGTTCTAGTGAAGGTAAAGATCAAGGAAAGAGTTTCAAAGGTTAGATCCTGACTTCAGTTGGTATGCAATTAATAGGGGTAAACAGGAAGTCTTTTCCATCTGTCATCCCTGTGGAGGGATGACAGTATTAAGGAAGGGTGGATAATTTTTGGAAGATGACATGAATTTGAGCATCATCATGAGTTTTTCAAGGAAGAAAAAGAGGAATGGAAATCTGCAATGCTAACTCTGCTTTCGACTTCTGTAGTAAGTGGTGGTTGAGAGGATTCAGTACCACTATAGAAATGATGCGAGGTAACTGGTATTCATTCAGATTTAAGAGGTGGAGAACTGCCTAGTAAATGAGTTTGAGTGCTGCGGCATATTGCAGAGGAGGTGCAGTTGAAAGTCCAGGGAACGAGGCTAGCAATAGGGTGATGATACATGGGAAGACTTAATGACAGACCATTACTTATGTTGTTTGACAATAAACATTCACCTAATTCTTCTACTATATGGAAGAAAATAGAAAATAAATAGACATATACTATAAAGCATTCAAGTATGTGTGATTTTAAAAAAATGTGTTCATTTTTCTAATGGTCACAATTGAAAAAATATGTTATAGTTGTAATTAAATTTTAAAACATGTTTTCCATCATTATTTTTCCAATTTCAATGTTAATTTTTCTTAATAACATTTGTAAGAGAAAGTAGTAGGAGAAGATTGTGTATTCGGTCATAGCTAGGCCCAATATTCCTTCAGAGAAAATAGACTCCTGCATAACCACTGATGTCACTAATTTGCACGAGTCTTCTTGTGGCGCTGTGGGTTAATGCGCCAGACTGCAATGCCGATTAAACTGCAAGGTTCGGCGGTTCAAGCTTACCAATTGCTCCTCAGAAACCCTATACAGGGTCACTGTGAATTGGAACCGACTCGATGGCACTTAACAACAACAACAACAACTGTTTAAAACCCAATGTGTCTGGTTAGATATGGCGATATGGGTTAATGTGCTGGACTTCAAAGTCGATTGGAACCACGTGGTCGTTGGCTCATGCTCACCAGCCGCTCTTTGGAAACCCTATACACTGTTGTGATGAGTCAGTATCAACTCGATGGCACATAACAATAACAACGATTTAGACTTTACTAAAGTCTTACCATAAGACAGATATTGTGCCAGACATAGGCACAGTCAGAATGCTCCTTGGAAGCCAGAATGGCCAGACTTGTCTCTCATACTTCAGACATATTATCAGGAGGGACCAATCACTGGAGAAGGACATCATGTTTAATAAACTGGAGGGTCGGAGAATAAGAGGAAGACCCTTAATGATATGGACTGGCACAGTGGCAAGCGTAACAATGATTGTAAGGTTGGCTCAGGACCAGGTAGTGTGTTGTTCGCTTGTGCTTAGTGTCACTATGAGTTGGTGTTGACTCGATGGCACCTAACAACAACAACAGTAATTGATCAGCATCCCAGGATGGTGCAAAGGGTTTAATGAGCTCAGCTGTTTAGCTTAATGGTTGAAATTCAAATCTACCCAGTGCAGTTTTGGATGAAAGATTTACTAATCTAGCTCTGAAACATCAGCTATTGAACACCCAGTGGAACACATGGATTACCGTGAGATGGGGTCGACTCCACAGCAAATTGGTTTTTCTTTTTTTAGCTAATGTAGTTTTTTTTTTTTTTTGTCATTTTGATGGTTCTTCTGAAAATGTAAACAAATGTTATTTATATTTTATTAAATATATGAGTGACTAAAATTTTTCTCACAGTGGAAGTTTGAATAGTTCCCATAGATAGAATTAAAGTATCTAAACATAAATTCTTCTAAGATATTTTAATATTAAATGTGTAAGATAATTGTGATCTGAACATGTCCTGATATTAATAAGACAGGAATTGGAATCTCATAGTCCCATTTATTTGTTCACTAAAGAGTTCTGATAAAGCAACCTTCAACTGTATTTTCAGGCATTTCATAAACACATTTGGAAACTGACTTACAAGCATAGAGAATAAAGTTCTGTATGAAAAACCTGAAACAGTTGAGGGAATTAAAATCTCTTATTAATGATTATACTATCTTTGTGTGTGTGTTTGCAGATTATAGAAAATATTATTGTGTAATTTGACTAGTCAGTAGCTAACTAAATCATTTATGGATTGTCTAGACCCTTCGTAAGGAGCCCTACTAGCGTGGTAAGTTACACACTGGGCTGCTAATTGCAAGGCCAGCAGCTCTGTGAGAGAAAGGTGAGGCTTTCTGCTCCCATTAAAATATAAAGCCTCAGAAACCCTATATAGGGTTGCTATGAGTGGGAACTAACTCGACAGCACACAACCACCAGCACCACCACTAGGTTCTTCCTATCTTACTTACAATTGATTATGAGATGAGAGGTTTGCTTGTATTTAAAATGGCATTTAAGCTTGCTGTTTCCTAATATGCTTTTTTCTTGTTCTCCAGTGTAGTGATTATGACTTGGAATTTGGAACTGAATGCTTACAATTGGCTCTAAAATACTGCCACACCAAAGCCAAACTGGTAGAAGGATCCTCTGATCTCTGGAAGGTAAGGAGATGAGATTTTGCTTTGGCTGTGTCTATGATTGTTTGTCCTGTCTAAAGACTCAACTCTACAAGTACAAAAACTTTCTAGAGACTTCAGAGAATGCAGAAGTAGTTTGAAATTATTCGGCTTAATACTGAAACAGTTATTTCCTGGAAAAAGGTAGGAGTGTGTGAATGTGTCTGTTTGTACATGCATGCTTAAAGTATGCAGATGAATGCATGCATTTATAAAGACTACAAATTTAAATGAGCTAAATGAGTCTCACACTTGGTTTACTGAGCCATCAAAGTGTGGTATTACTTCTGTGGCTTGGCTTCAAGAAAACTTACTTGGAAATAATTTATTTAAACACATTCCATTTTAGCCATCAAATTGTCTCATTCACTTTCTTTTGCCCTCAGTTTTGCTCGCTGTATTTGCTTACACTATTGCTAAAGCTCCAATAGATAGACTCCATGCTTCTGCTTTCCACATAGAAACATTTCCTTCCAGGCCCTGGCTGAAAGCGCCAGTTTAACTGAATTGAAAGAATCTCTGCCACAATTCTGAACCAATGAGACAGGTAGGCAGGCTCCCCTTCCCTAAGCCCCCATGAGGAATTGGACTTTTTCCTGTCACAAGGCCCTACTCTTCTAATGGTAAGGGAAAGGAGTGGCTACTGAAAACAAGGTAGTTGCATTACCATACTGCAAACTCCTGTTTTGGTAGGGGTGTGTTAGTGACTACTTTGTTTCCTTGGGTAGCATTTTGTTTAATTGAACAGTACATTCTGAATTAGAGTTGTAGTGCCATTTTGTAATTTTTTAAATAGGTATTGTTGATTTTGAAATTTTGATTGTAGTCTCATGAAATCTTTATAGAACATACCCTAAACCCTAAACCTGATTAGTACAGATTCATTCTTATGCTTAGATTCTCTGAGTCAACGAACATATTTCTAAATTGATACAAAAAAATTCCCAAAAGCTATGATTAAATGATTGGGTATTTTGCACTGTAATATTATGAGCCTTGCTGAATGCTAAGATAACCTTGTTTTTGTTGTTGTTAAGTGCCTTTGAATCAGTTCCAACTCACAGTTACCCTGTAAAGGGTTCCCAAGCTGTGGCTGGTGAGCTTGAACCATCAACCTCATGGTTCTTAGACATTCTTAGAAGGTTGAATTCTAAGGTTCTAAAATATTGACAAGATGGGGAAAATTCACATAATATTATTACTAAGAATGCCCACTTAGTGTACATGAATTTTGTTAATTTGTTTATCATCATTCTATATGTGACTGAAATGGTGATATATATAATTATGAGGATTTACGCAATTACCAATTGTCTTTTATTAAAGACCACATCCTTACCTGCACATGCTAATTTGAAAGCCAAGCAAAACTTTGATGCATTTCATTACTACTAACGTGTTAACCTTCTTTGACTTGGTGTTTGGATGTTGCATGTTTCAGTGCCCACCTCTTGTGAGTGTTGTGAGCCTTTCACTAGTTTGTAAAACACTGTGGAGAGGACTTACAGGAACATATAGACCTTTGAATTTTTCCACACTATTTTCACAAATTCAGTTTATTTTTGATAAAAGGTTCATATTTCACTTCTGTCTTCAGCAAGAAGGTATTAGTCCTCAGACACATTTTATTCCTTTGCTTCCCTTTGTGTGGAACAAATGTCAGTGCACACTTACAGTGACTGGCCTTGCCACAGTGTTTTTATGAGTCCTACTGATGAGTTATTTCATACATATAAGTAGTGACACACTCTCTTGGACACAGTGGAGCTACATCATAGTGCTACTTGTAAAACTGGGCATAAGATAGCCCTATCCTTATGAATGTGGTCTGAACAATGATATGCTTAGTGTCTTAGGGTGGGTTCTCTAGAGAAGCAAAACCTGTGAAGCTTATCTATCTGTATATATAAAGAGAGGTTGATGCCCAGGAAATGGCTGACACAGTTGTAGAGGTGGTCAGTCTCAAGACCATGGGTTAGATATCAGGGTAGAGACATCATCTGATTGGTGTAGCTACAGGGATGGTGAATCAAGATGGGTCAAACAACAGACCATTAGATGCAGCAGGTAAGATGTCAGGCTGCTGATGACTCCCAGGATCTGCAGATAATAGAGCAGGTCACTGGCTCAAGTCCAAATAACTGGAGATCCAAGGGTGAGCCAAATGCATAACCCAGCTCAGCAGAGAGCAAAAAAGCTTTTCCTCAGTGTCCAGTATACTGGAAGCAGGCCACACTCCCAAGGAAACTTCCTTTCAATTGATTGGCTGCTCATAGGAGACCTCATCATAGAGTTGATTACATTCTATTAGATCTCATCATGGGGATGACAACATCTTAATTGCTGAACCACTGAGAACCCTAGCCCAGTCAAGTTGACACAGAACCTTAACGATCACATCTAGGGGACCAGATTTTTTTCTACTGATTAAGGTTGAAATTATTTTGAATGCAAATATTGTAGTTGTTTCAAATTGTTTCAGGTTCTTTATTTCCTTCTTTTGCCTCCTATCTCTTATCATCTTCTACTTTCTTCTGTGTTTTGGTATTTTCTTAGCTGTTTATTTAGTCTCTAATGACATTGTATAATTTATTTTTACCAAAAAGTTATAAATTAATTAATTTTGTGATGCAGTAATTGGCTGAACCCTAACAATCATGAGGATGGTGAAGGATGGGCTGTTTTGTTCTGTTGTGCATGGGGCTGCTATGAGTCAGAATCAACTGGATGGCACCTAACAACAACATCTTTCAGTACCAATTTCATTTGCCCTTTAAACCAAAGCAATGGAATCTGCACTTGAAAATTAATATTCGAATTCTATGCTAAATGTAAAGGTACTGCCATTTTCCCTTTATTCTGATCAGAAGAAAAAGGTTTAGTACAATCCTGCTGAAACTTTTAGTGGGTTCAGATGGCAGAGCTAAGCAGTTAGAACATGATTCAGAAATCAGGCTCAATGGAAGACACATTCTGATGTTGTTGTTGGTGGTGGTTGTGTGCTGTGGAATCTTTCTTTTTCTAGGGTAGCAATGGCCGTCCTATGGGACTTTCATTGGGAAACTCTACCCTATCTACCCTAAAACACTGAATATTTCCCCTCAGACTTCTTTTTGTTCCCCAAACTCAAAGAAAATCAAAAGGGAACATGATTTGTGTCCCTTGAGGATGTCAAAACCGCTGTTTTTGATGTATAAATTGAAGAGTATAGAATTATTTGGGGAAGGGTTAAAAGGATGGAAATACTTTCTTCAGAAGTGTTTAGACTTAGATGGAGATTATGCTAAGAAACATTCATATTTAATAATTTTGTTTAATAATGGTATCTGATTTTATGACAATATGTTTTGACTCACCTGTGTATTTGAAAAAGTACATGTGGGGGGAAAAAAAGCATCCGGGGTGGTTCTGACACTCCCATGACAGGCCTTGTGGGGTCTGAAGGAAACAACTGCTTGCTTGCTTTTTAATTACTGAGCAGAGTAGAACGCACTCCACTGGACTGGCAAGGGCAGATACTGTGTCACCAGGCACAGAAGAGCAGCTTCCAAGACTGGCTCCTGGGGATGAAGGATTGAGCCTCAGGCTTCCCCTGAGTAAATCTGTATAGACTTTCCTACAAACTCCTATTTTGGGGAGCTGTCATCTAGTCAAAAGAACTTCAGTCCTTGTAATTTATAGTTTTACCATATTTTTGATGCAATTTCTCTTTTTAAATAGGTAATTTTATTTTGTTGTTCATGTTCAGAATATGCACAAACATACATCAATTTAACAGTTTCTGCATGTGTCTTTTAGTGTCATTGATTACATTCTTCCAGTTTGGGGGTGTCCTCACCCTTCTTTTCTAAATTGTGTTTCCCGTTAACACAAGTTCACTATTACGGTTCCTGTCTGATCTTGTAAGTAGTTGCCATGTTGACAGTTTTTAGAAGAGAATAATGCTCAGACAGATCTTTGCTATTTTAAACCTCGCTGTGGGTTCAGCACTTGACTTCAAACCACTAGGTTGGCAGGTCAAAACCAACCAGATGCTTCTCAGAAACCCTATACACAAGGTCGCTGTGAGTAGGAACCAACTAAATCGCACTTAACAACAACAACAAACTAAACCATTTCATTTTAAGGAGACTTCAGGGGTATTTTTGATTTAAAGTGTAAAGATTATCTCCGGGCAGTCATTTCAGCGTTTCATCTAGAAAGTCTGAATTACAATAGAATATGAAATTCTGTTCTGTTGTTTCCCTCCTTTGATCAGGGGAAATTCTATGAAATATTACTTCAAAATATTCAGAAATCAGGAAGGCAATTGCCCACACATTCCATATCCTTTCCTATTCTTGACTCTCCTTCATCCTATGTCATTCCATATGAATTGTTGATAGTGTTGTTGTTAAGTGCCATCAAGTCAATTCTGATACACAATGACCTTGTATAGGGTTTCCAAGGAGTGGCTGATGGGTTTGAACCGCCAACCTTGGAGTTGACAGTCCAGTGCTTATCCTATAGTGCCACACCAGGACTCCTCTATGTGAACAGAGACCGATTACCATGACTTTGATGGCCAGTTGCATGCTGTTAAGACCTCAGACACTG